ACTGTGAGAAAGCGCTATATAAAATACAGTCCATTTTACCATTAAATGATTGATCAGGTGGATTGATTTTTTTTGCCATGTGACAAAGATTCCACCGTGACGAGGCTCCACTGAGACCAACGAGAACATTTCAGTGTGTGCCAAAGCCACAAAGTACTGTGGAAGCAACAAGAAATTCTTGTTGAACCTGTGTAGGCTGTGTGTATTTGTTTAGATTACTTGTCTTGGATGACCGGGGACACAGGGCTGACTGTAAATGTGGTCGAGAGGCCTCAGGATCTCAGTTCCTCCCAGGTTAGCCTGCATCTCCTCAACTTTCTTCAGAGCCTCTTCCATGGATGTCTGGCTGTACTCCACACTCTTACTGCCGCAACACAATTGCATAAACATACAACATGTACCAATATTCACGTTCATCATTAAGCTTCAGTCTTGAAGACAGGACTGACTTACGGGAAGATGTGTTCGTAGCTGGAACCAAAACTGTAGATGTTGAAATAGCATCCCATCGGTAAGCTCTTCAACAGGAGCAGTAGAGTATCCTGAAGTCAAGAGAAAACCGATAGTGAAGATTTTTATGTGAGAGAGACAATATCAGTGAGTTTAGGATGAAGTTAACACTAGCTGAATACCCTGGCACTGCCAATGCGAGTTTCTTGTGGCTTGCTGTTGTTGGTACGATAATCCATGCTCGCAGATCGATCCAGTAAAAACACAAACTCTCCACATGAGGCGACTGAAGACATCACAGCCTGAGGGAACTCAGGGTACAGGCTGAGCATCACTACTGGGTCACCCATCAGAGTGCCTGAAACACAGAGCAAAGGCAGAAAAATGACCACAAACCTGATTTTTATTGCTACGCACTGAAGTAATGAGCATCACATTGAGGGTAGCAAAGTATCATCATCACTAGTTTGCACTCACCAGGTTTGGCAGAGGCCTGTCCTGCCTCTACCACAGCAGTGGGCTGGTGGGCATCTTTGTAATAAATCAGCAGTTCAACATCTCTGTCAAACTTGTGTACTGCAGCCAATTTCATCTGTAGTTCACAAAGCACACTCATCAATATAAATAAAGCTGAGTTATGGAGAACAACCACACACAGCAGACACATTAGCAGTCTACCCACCGTGGCCTGGGTTTGCTCTGTGTTGAGGTACTGGAGAGGGTCCAGGGAACTGCTGGACTCTACTTTAGAGATTGGACGAGAAGAGGACACTCGAGCAGAAAAAGACAGACTGTAGGGAACCAGAGAGGCTGGAACAGACGTCACCTGGACACCAGCACCTTCACTACCTGCAAACAAGGTCAGACAGGTTAGAAATACTACAATCAAAAAGACATTACACACTGTGAACTATTAGTCCAGAAGAAGCTCTGGATGACCAGAGAAGATCCTAAAAATAAATGCTGCTGTTGTAAGTCAAAACATGACTAGCAGTCCAGATTTACTGTATGCAGCACCGCTCAAGAGGCAGAGGTTGGAACACCATTACAACTGGTAAAAATGTGTTTAACTGTTCTGCTAGTGTTTTCCATCAGCATGTCTACAGTAAATTTGGCACTCTGACAAAATAGGTTTGACATACACTAAAATAACAATGTTAGGCTTGTTGTCCTACCCTGAGGTTGGT